GGGGCAGCCCTGGGTGCTGAAGCAAAGGGGGGGGGCAGGACGGGCAGCCCTGGGTGCTGAAGCAAAGCTGGGGGAGGGGAAGGAACAGGCAGCCCTGGGGCACAGACAGCAGGGTGGGGCAGCCATGGGTGCTGAAGCAAAGGGGGGGGCAGGACGGGCAGCCCTGGGTGCTGAAGCAAAGCTGGGGGAGGGGAAGGAACAGGCAGCCCTGGGGCACAGACAGCAGGGTCGGGCAGCCCTGGGTGCCTGCCCAAGCAGGTCGGCAGCTGGGCGAGGGCAGGGTGGGGAGGAGGGGCCTGTGCGTACTCCGGGAAGGTGCAGTCCAGTCCTGGCAGCATGGTGTACTCTCCAAAAGGCCCCAGGGCGACCAGGTCCATGGTGTGTGTGCCGCTCACACAGCACTCCAGGTTGAAGAAGCTCTTGAGGACAGCCAGCTTGAGCTTCTTGGTGTCCTGGTCCTCTGTCCAGCTGGCTGCATGCCGGCCAACTTCCTGCTTGAGGTACTCCCCGACACTGGGGACTGGGGGGTCAGTCACGTGAAGGAACTCCCGGGTCTGGTCCAGCAAAGTGTAGAAGAGACTGGCCATGTTCTCCACCAGTTCAGGGCTCACACTCTGTCCAGAGCTGCCGTAGGACACATAGGGGAGGCCCAAGTGGCCCCCCATCTCCACCTGCTGGTTCTCCTCCGACATTTCCTTGTCCCCCAGAAGTCCATACTGAGCAGCCAACTGGAAAACTGGGTTGCCTTGGGAGGGGCCGTGGATCCACTGGGCACCCATGTCCACCATGCCACCTAGAAGGGGACAGGGACATGAGCTGTGGTCTTATACTAACAAGTTTGCCCTGCACCCTCTGAAGACCACAGCCACTCCCCCACCCCGAGTGAGGCCCACACAGTCCACGGTAGGCCCATCAGGCTCAAAGTGGGGCGAGGGGCGGGAGACGGGCCTGGACTGCACCCTCCTGGGCGGACACTAGCAGAGGGGCGCGGGGTCCAGAGGGGCTGCCGGAGCAGAGTCAAGGGCTGAGGCAGAACAGGGCTTACTCCATACAGAGAGGGTGGATCTCTCCCCCCTGGGTCTGGCCAACTTTGGAAGGAGGGCAGCTGAGTTTGGGGGCCCCATGGATGGACGGTCACTCTGGCATCAGGTAAGCGCCGGGGGCCAGGTCACCCTAGAGCGCAGGCCGAGCCGTTGGCCAGCCAAGATGGAAGGGGCGCCGGTTGGGCGCCGGGGAGGGGCTCCAGGAAAGGGGCTCTTACCGAATTTGCGCTCTGAGCGGATGCGGCCCCCGGTCCGGGCGGTGGCCTCCAGGACCCGCAAGTGCGGGAAGGCCCCGTGCTGGTACAGTCTCTGCGCAGCACTCAGGCCCGCGATGCCGCCACCCACCACCAGCACCCTCGGGCCTCGGCCTGGAGCCTCCGCGTCGCCGGTGCTCAACTGCATGGTGCTGCTGCTAGCAGGCCCGGAAAGTCCTGCCCGTCGCCCTTCCTAGGTCTGCCGAGTGACTGAGGCCGAGGGCAGGGTCTGGGGCGGGACCGGATGGAGGGGCGGGGCCGGGGGAGGGAGGGGCGGGGGCACGACCCCTGGGCAGCCTCGCTGGGCCTCGCTCACCCTGCTGTGCTGTCCTGGGGGCTCCGGGGAGACTCGGTCATACCCAGGACGGCGCCGGCACGCAGCCTGGCCTGCCGACCACTCCTGCAACCCAAAGATGAGAAGGCAGGAGGGCGAGCCAGAGGGATCCGTGGGAGCCGCACAGTCAGGCCCCGCAGCCACCTCTGCCCCACAGCCACGCTCACCTTCGGACCCTGTCCTCCAGAAAGGCAGGATGCCGGGCTCAAAGGTCTATGAGACGCCCACTCATCCTTGGCTGTCTATGGTGCCAGGTTCGAGGTGCGGGGAGGGAGGGCCAAAGGGGGTTGTGAGATACTGCATGTGTAGGCATGTACGCTGGTGGTCTTGGACTCAGTGATCCTGTTATTGTTGTTAGGTGACATCGAGTCGGTACCTACTCATAGCGACCTTATGCACAGCAGAACGAAACAATGCCCGATCCTGGGCCAACCTCACTACTGTTGCCACGCTTGAGTCCATTGATGCTGCCACTTGGCCAATCCATCTTGTTGGGGGTCTTCCTCTCATTCCCTGACCCTCCACCCTACCAAACATGATATCCTTCTCCAGCGACTGGTCCCTCCTGACACTATGTCCGAAGTATGAGAGACGAAGTTTGGCCATCCTGGCCTCCAAGGAGCACTCTGGCTGCACTGCTTCCTAAACGGATCTACAAAACCCAGCCTGGTCCTGCACCATCCTCCCAGTTGGTCCTGTGTGTGGGCTCATTGTTGCAGCCAATCTGTCTTTCTTTTTTCTCACTGACCCTCTACCAAACACGATGTCCTTTTCCAGGAACATGTCCAAAATCAGTGAGAAAACCTGGGCGCCTGTACTTCTTACCCGATAGATTTGGCTCTTCTTTGTCTGCCTTATTCATTGCTCAGCTTTTGCATGGATATGCAAATACCATGGCTTGGTCAGGCACACCTTAATCCTCAAGGTGATAGCTTTGCTTTTTCATACTTTTAAGAGTTTTTTCAGCAGATTTCCCCAGTGCACTCATTGCATTGATGCAATGTAATGACTGCCTCCCTGCTGCTCCCATCAGCACTGACTGGACCCTATACCCACTGCATTCCAGTCTAGTCCAACTCACAGTGACTTTAGGACACGGTGGAACTGCTGCAGGGGGTTTCCGAGGTTGGAAATCTTTACGGAAGCAGATTGCCTCATCTCTCTCCCAACGAGTGAGTGGTGGGCTCAAACCAATGGCCTTTCAATTAGTCCAATGCTTAACCCAGTGCACCACCGGGCTCCTTTGGGTCATATATGAAACAAACAAACTCCCTCTCATGGATTTGATTTCGATTCACAGCAACACTATACAGGGTTTCTGAGGCTATAAAGAACACCTCATCTTTCTCCCATGGAACAACTGGTGGGTTTCTACAGCCAACTTTGCAGTTAGCAGTCCAGTGCTTGTCCTACACCATCACTAGGCCTCCGATGGATCATGTAAATAGGGTGTGATACACAGAGTACAAAGTTCAAGATACTTCACACTCAGAGCAAGCCCTCTGCAGCCTCCTGCTGACCTTCACCCCTCCTCCCAGCCTGATGACGTCTGGAGGAGTCCTCTCTCTAACCCTCCATTCAGGGGGTGGACCAGGAGGCTCTGGCCAGCCAGCTGTTGAAAGGGTGCTCAGGCTCCCTGTCCTAGCACGTGAGAAGCCCTTCTGGAGCCTCTCCTTCTGTCTCAGCAGGACACTGGGCACCCTGCCCTCAATAGTAAAGGCCATAGCTCCTGGACTTTCTCCATGGAGGGGAAGGGCAGGGACTTGTGGCCTTGAATCCACAGCCACACACTCCTGGTATCGCTTCTGTCCAGAAAGGCCCCTGATGTTTTCCCTCTGTATCACTGAAGACCATCTTTCCCAAATCATGTGCCCTTTTTTCTTGATTGGCTCTAATGTTTTGATGGAGTAAATATGCCCACTGAGGTGTGTGAGGTCAGTATTTCAAGACACTGCAACCCTGAAAATAAAAGTGTCTTTATTTTGCCCTCACATTTGATTTTCAAGTTGCCTAGGCATCAAAAGTTTCTAGTTTGGAAATTTTTCCTTCAGAATTTCCTGGTGGTACGGCACTTAACAACAACAACACAACTATTGTTGTTGTTATTGCTAAGTGCCATGGAGTCAGCTCCAACGCATAGCGACCCTGCACAGAGTTTCCAAGGCTGTAAATCTTTACAGGAGCAGAAAGCCTCATCTTTCTCCCACGGAACAGCTGGTAGTTTTGAACTGCTGACCTTGAGGTTGGCAGCCTGACTCGTGGTACTATTAGGAGATACAATGTCCTTCCACTCTCCAGCCCCTCCTGTCTCTGGAAGCCTTTAGGATCTTCTCTTTAAATTTCAGAGTCAGGTGCCTTAGTGTGGGTGGGATGCAGTGAGTTACTTAACTTGGACCTTGAAGCCATAGTCTATGTAACTCTCACCAAATGACTGGCTGGGACTATGTAAATGAGATGTTTGTGACCCACCAAGGGGATTGGACAGCTTGCTAATAACATAAGGTACACGTCACCCTTGTAGGGTGAAGAATTCAAATAAGGTATATGGAGCTCTAACAAGGGGACTGGTCCGTTTTACCATCCCACTAGGCTTAGATTGAGCCAGCCAAGAAACACAAGTGGAGAACCTCAAGAGCAAGGAAGGACCCAGGAGCGGAGCGTGTCATTTGGACCCAGGATCCTTGCACTGAGAACCTCTTGAACCCAGGAACGAGCAGTAACACCGTCAGCAGCAGACAGGCAGGGCACCAACAGGGGACAACATAGTGGACTTCCCAGCCCATGAAACATGAGAACTAAGTGTCTGCTGGCAGGAGGCTTGCTGCTGGAGTAAGGTGGCTCTTGGTGGAGCTAACTTTGCTGACCCTGGAGCTCAAGCTGAGCACCTTTGGGCCAAGGCTTACAGGTAGAGTGGGTGCCTCCAGGCACTTTCAGCAGAGCTAAAAGAACTTTATAACACTTGCCCAAGCAGGGCAGAGGCCAGCGAGAGAGACGTATCTGGGGACCTGACTGAAAGGAAGCTGTCCTGACCCGAGAACTGTATCCTAAGCAATCCTGAACCGGAGTTGTGACCTGTTCCTTCCCTAACAAAGCCTGGAAATATGAGTATGGTCTGTAAGTTCTGTGTGGCTATTGCAAAGAATTATCAAACCCAATAGAGATGTAGAGATGTGATGTGGGAGGAGCAGTTGGCGTCAGAATTGGTAAGGAAAAAAAAAAAAAAAAAAAAACCTCACAGGAATTCACTTTGGGCTCATGGTGAGTCTCTTCTTGTGAAGGTCAGCCACCTCCCCTCATGGTATTGGGCATTCGACAGACCCTCGTGATACCTCCTGTTCTGCCATCCAGGAAAATTATCCACGTCTTCCACCAATGATCCTTTCCCCTTTCTGGAACCCCTACTTTAAGATGTTAGGTACACTAGCCTGGCCCTTGAAGTTTTCACCTTACTTCTCATCGCTATGTTTTTGCTTTGCTTTCTGACATATTTCTCTCAGCTTAATTGTCAAGTCTTTTGAGTTTTTAAATTTTGGTTTAATAGTGCTAAATTTCTGCATCCTTTTTCTTCTAAAAATGTTTCCTTTCTCTAGAAACCCTCTGCTTGCTTTGAAAGAAGATAGAAAAAGTGCCATATAGTCCATTCCGACTCATAGCAACCCTGTATAGGGTTTCCGAGGAGCGGCTGGTGAGTTTGAACCGGCAACTTTGCAGTTCAGTGTATTATACCAGCGTCACACCAGGTCCCCATGCTTGCTTTATGGGTGCAATAGCCTCCCTTACCCTACCATTGTTGTTGTTGTTGTTAAGTGCAGTGGAGTCGATTCTGACCCATAGCGACCCTGTCGCATTAACCCACAGCGCCACACCAGGACTCCAGTAATGACAAATCAGAAGTGCACTTCCCTCGGCAGTCTTTCTCCTATTTCTTTTGGCCTTTATTTGTTGTTGTTGTTAAGTGCTGTAGAGTGGATTCCGACCCATAGCAGGTTTTCCGAGGCTGTAAATCTTTACGGGAGCAGAAAGTCTCCTCTTTCTCCCGTGGAACAGCTGGTAGTTTCAAACTGCTGACCTTAAGGTTCACAGGCCGATTCGTAACCACTGTGCTCCCAGAGCTCCTTTATTGTTGTTGTTAAGTGCCGTCGAGTCGGTTCCGACCCATAGCGACCCTGTATAGAGCTCCTTTATAGTCTAGATGATATCTGGTATCTTGTGTGGCTTGTGGTGAACGAGAGACCGCAGAGCTGTTTGTTTTAAGTATTCGGCTTGTGGGTTTTTGTTGTGTGTTGTGGAGACTATTGTGACTCACAGCGACACTCTAGGGCACAGTAGAACTAGCCCCTAGGGTTTCCTAGAAAAAGTCTCTAGGTCTTTTCTCCCATGGAGCACCTGGCGGATTCTAAGCGACAATCTTTTGATTTACAGTCAAGTGCTTAACCGATGCACAACCAGAGCTCATCAAATCTGAGCTTGACTCCAGGGAGTCACTGGTGAGGACCCCGCCCCCCCCCAGTGCTTCTATTCTCCCCCTCGGACTACATCCCAGGGAGAAGGCTCAGAGTCTCGCTTATTTCTCAGCTCTGCTCCCTGTCCTCTGCAAGCTCAGCGGCCCCAGGGGCCTCCCCTGGGATCCCACCAAAGGTATGAACTTGGCCCAAGACCTTTGGGCCCCGCCTAGCGACCCTCGCAGTACGACCCCCTGACCTTTGTTCTGCCCCAGCGACCCGCGGCCCCGCCCTTCAGAGGCGGCCGCTTGGCCTTCGTTCCCGCCCCCTGATCCTCGGTCCCGCCCCCTGACCCTCGGTCCCGCCTCTGACTCGCTTTCGCCAGCCCCGACCTCTAGCATAGCCGGAGCCTCGATCGCGTTCCTAGACGCTCGTAGCCCCGCCCCCAGCCTCAATTCCTCCTCCTGACTCAGTCCCCCTCCCGGGCCCTCGTAGCCCCATAGCCCCGCCCCCAGCCTCGGTCCCCCCTCCCGGGCCCTCGTAGCCCCGCCCCCAGCCTCAATGCCTCCTCCTGACTCAGTCTCCCTCCCGCGCCCTCATAGCCCCGCCCCCAATCTCAGTCCCCTTCCCAGGCCCTAGTACTCCGCCCCTAGCCTCAGTTCCGTTTCTAGCCTCGGTCTCGTCTGACCACCCCCGGTCCGGGCCCTGGTAGCTCCGCCCCCTGCCTCAATTCCGCCTCCTGCGTCGCTTCCTCTCCCGGGCCCTCGTAGCCCCGCCCCCAATCCGGAGTTCGTCCCTCCATGTTCTCGCGATACTTGGTTTATAGGCGGTACGAGCCCTGAATGGCGCAGCCAAGGGGCGGCTCCGCGGGGAGGTGCCGCGGGGAATAGTTGACCGGACTGTACCATGGCCGCCCTGCGTGTCCTGCTGCCCCGCGTGTGCGGCCCGCTGCGGCCCCGGGCCGGCTGCCCGGAAGTGCGCTCCTTCGCCTCAGGTGAGCCTGGACGGGCGGTCCCGCGCACCCCCTGCCTGACCCCTACCTCCATCTGACCCTGGACCCTCGGTCTGCACCCACGATCCGGCCTGAGCCCGCCGTCCTCCCAGCGTCCCAAGCGCACTGAGCCAGGTGGGGTCACGTCCGCCTGCGGCCACTTGAGCGTTCATCCGTGAACTTGAGGCCGATCCCTCCACGTGCCTTGAGTGATTTTCAGAGCAGTGCCTTACGAGACGGAAGCCCGTTTTCCAAGTTCGTATTCTGCACGTCCTGCCGCCTTTAGCCCACCTGTGACGGTCCAGTCCGGTGCCCGAGGGACCTTGGTCAGTCCCAGCTGCGAAATACCGCGCGCAGCTCTGAGCCCCCCGCCTCCCATGCAGTGGTCATCTGCTGGCTTTATGGGACAGGAGCTTTGCAGACGTCCTTTCAGCAGGTCCACACACACTTTTGGACGGTACCGCTGTCCCTGGGATACCCCGCACTAACCAGCCCCAGGACACTCAGCTACCCCCTCCAGCCTACGCCACTGGTCAGAGCCCTCCAGACCCATGGAGCAGGACGGCCGGGCCTGAGCTGAGCCTGGGCACTTTGACCTAACCCTCAGGGGAAAGCTGCTCCAGGCAGAGCCTGTGTGGTCACCCGTGTGAACAGGCGCCCCTCTGTCCCGCCTCCTCCTCCTCCCAGGTACCCATTTCGAGTACATCGTCACCGAGAAGAAGGGGAAGAGTAACAACGTGGGGCTGATCCGCCTGAACCGGCCCAAGGCGCTCAACGCACTGTGCAACGGCTTGGTGATGGAGTTGAACCAGGCACTGGAGGCCTTTGAGGGGGACCCAGCCGTGGGGGCCATTGTCCTCACTGGCGGGGAGAAGGCCTTTGCAGGTGGGTAGAGGGGAGGGTGGCCCTGCCTTGATGTGGCCTGGGAGATTATGGGTGCCTGGTGACAGTGTGCAAAGGCCCACTGGTACGTACAGCCTTGGCACACTGCCGACTCTCAGTATGCCCACCTCTGTCCAGGCCTATGTGGCCGGCTGACTCCACCAACAGTCACACCACATTCCCTCGGTTACACCCAGATCACGTGTTGCCCGTATCCAGCTGCATGCCCTGTGGCAAGTCCCCCCTTGTTGCACGCGGTTGCCGGGCATTCGCCGTGTGAGCTAGACGTGCCTGCTTCTTTGTAGCGGGAGCCGACATCAAGGAGATGCAAAATCGCACTTTCCAGGACTGCTACTCAGGAGGCTTCCTGAGCCACTGGGATAGACTGGCCCGCTCCAGGAAACCAGTGATCGCTGCCGTCAACGGCTATGCAGTGAGTGTCCCCTCGGAGCCCATGCATGTGCACCAGGATTTTCTGTTAAACACCTCAAGTGCTCGTCTCCCCCCAGATGGTCCCAAGAGCCCAGTGCATTTCTGCATCTGCTCCCTCTGGCCCCCAGAAGGCACTAGCCCCCGACCATGCTGAGCTCTTCTGCACAGTTTGGGTGGCGTTTGGGCCAAGGTGCCCTGTAAACGCGCTTGCTCCCATTTAGGGCTCAGTGTTCTCTGGTGTTTTGGTCTGGTCCCAGGAAAGCAATCTGTGTAAGTCCAAATTTTAGGGGGTCTGTGTGGTCATGAGGGGCCATGTGGTCCTCAGTGAGGTAGCTCCCGTGTAACCACCCTGCCTGTTAGTCCTGCCCTGCTTTGCTTCGTCTCAACAGAACCCTTACACTGCCTGAGTGAGCGCCGTTCTGTCTACAGCTAGGCGGGGGCTGCGAGCTGGCCATGATGTGCGACATCATCTATGCAGGGGAGAAGGCACAGTTTGGACAACCCGAGATCCTCCTGGGAACCATCCCAGGTGAGAGCCGGCTGACCTCTCAGCTGGAGGGGTGGGCAGGGTGGTGGGGATTAGCAGGCTGAGTCCTCGTTCCAGGGGCTGTGGGGGTCACCCCTGCTGCTCTGGGTATGAGGGCAAGCATTTGTGCAGGGTCTGACTCTTCCCTAGGAGCTGCTGGAAGGAGCCCAGTGCCTCGGAGGGAGGGGAGAGGTGCAGGGACGCCTAGAGGCTTCTAGAAAGTACATAAGCGGGAGAATGGCTGCTGGTCTGGGGCTTGGATCCTGAAGCAATGTTTGGGTGTAGGAGGGATGCCAGGCTGGGGAGAGCTTGGTCGCAGACCCCATCTTCATTGTCCAGAACTACCTCTAACTGTGGGGTCCTTTCAGGTGCGGGGGGCACCCAGAGGCTCACACGGGCTGTCGGGAAGTCGCTGGCAATGGAGATGGTTCTCACCGGTGACCGGATCTCAGCCCAGGAAGCCAAGCAGGCAGGTGCGGCTGCAGCGGTTTAGAGGGGGGACTGCTCAGTACTCCAGAAACAAGGGCCGGCTGCCATCGTGTTGAAATAGCTTACACACCCGGGAGTAACTAAAGCAGGTGTGAAAATGGCTGGTATCTCCGCTCTCCAGTGCTGTGCACATTGGTGGCTTTAAGAAACAGAACTGTGTTCTCTCATGTTTTAGGAAGCTAAAAGTCCTCGTTCAAAGTGCCAGCACTGGAGAAGGTCCTTGTCTCTTTCCAGCTTCCCTTGGCGATCTCCAGGTGTCTTGGCATTACTGTTTCCTTGGATCTAGGAGCTCCACAGTATAGGGACTCCGGGTGCACAGAACACCCTCCGCTCCTGAGATTTCTTTCTTGATGGCCATAGGTCCCTCTGTTTCTGCTCACTTCTCTCTCCTTTATCTTAAAAGACTCAAGATACAGCCTAATCCTGTGATTGCATCCGCCCTCAACAAAAGCACAGAAATGAGAAATTCCAGCACACGACAGTTAGGTCAGATCAGGGCTGATCACAGCAGACCACATTACAGGGGAGGTGAGGATGTTATGTTAGCTGTCACGGGGAATTAGTATGTTGCTGTGGGTCGGAACCGACTCGACGGCACTTAACAATCACTGCTAAACAACGGAGGAGCCTGGCCCCAGTCTAGTTAACACAGAGCTGTCACACCAGGGGAAAGAGAGTCAAGATCAGCAATCTAAGACTATTGCTTCTGGGGCAGAGGTCAGACATACTTTCACCCTCTAACCTTTCCAACAGTTCTGACACCAGCCGTCCCGCCCACAGTACTCTCTGCTCTTGTGTGGGTTCATTAACTATTGCAGCAGCCACACAGATCTCACGGACCTTACTCACACTGAGGTGTTTACTAGGGAAATAGCAGGTTACTGTCCAGGATCAGCCATGCCCACAGGTAGACTGGGCTGACCCAACCTCTGCCCTACCCTGGCAAGTGTCAAAACAACTCTAGCCTTTCCAACAAGTGCCTGGAGGCACCCATTCCACCAGTAAGCCCAAGGTCACTGGGCTTTCTTGCTCCATGGGTTGGTGAGCCTAGCTCTGCCAGGGGCCCTGAGGTGCTCTACTCAGCCAACAGTGCTCAGCTTTTTCACTCCATGGGTCAGGAAGGCCGCTGCACCATCCCCTACTGCTCTCCTTGTTCCGCTACCTCTGCCGCTGCGTCTCATCTCTGATGTTGTAGCTCTCTGTCTCCTGGGTCTAGAAGGTTCCCAGCACCGGGACCCTTGGGTCCAGAGGACATGCTCCACTCCTGTCCCTCGGCCTGCTTCTGGGATGGCTCCGAGCAGGACGGCAAAACCGTCCAGTGCCTTGGTGGGCCACAGGTACCTCCTTTGCAGTCTCCCAGTCATTTGGTGGCAGTTACAAAGACGGTAACTAGAAGGGCTGTATGAAGCCACTCACAGCACCTTGTCCCATTGAAAACCCTCGACTGAGGTGCTGCTAGAAATGAAAGCAAAAATTTTATTGGAGGAATGATTTAAGTATGTTTGCAGGGCGTGGGGGATCTCATGTGTTCTGCCTTTCAGGGGAAGCAGTAAGATATTTATGAGGCAAAGCAAACAAAAGTGAAGGGTTTTACACCAAAGGGATGTGTGGGGGTGGGGAAATCTCAAAGGGCTGAGCGACCACATCTTTCCTGACACCAGGTTCTAGCCCAACTTGAATTTATTCTCTTGATGCAAGTTGACTGCATGTTTATAAAGCAAGTAGTTAAACATGTTTGATGTGGGGTTTTAGTGATCGATTATCGGTGAGGTCACTTCTAGTTGTAACTCTTGAGAAGTAAAGGCAAGCAGTTTGTGTAGGCCGGGAGGGAAATGAAATCAGCGCTAATCTGAAGTCTGAAATGTCAGCATTGCCTGTTGGCTCTGAGAGCGTGAGCCAGGACTCAGGTGGTTCCCTGGGTGAGTTGGCTCATGGTCGTTAAAATGGCGACTTTTTTCACAAGTTAGAGCTGGCCCAACCTCTGCATTCTTTATGTTGAAAACAGTCCATTTTGACAGCTGGGATCTGCTTCTTTTGTTTTTCACCATAAACTTAGTCTTTACCTACAAATTTGCAAAGAACTAGCAGAAGTACAGTGAAAAACTCTCAACACATGGAATTTAATTGGGGAGTTAGGATGTGGAAGTAAGAATTAGTATATACAGATCTTGACTTAAAAGGAGTCCTGGTGTGGCGCTGGGGGCTAATACGCTGGACTGCAAAGTTGGTGGTTCAAGCCCATCAGGCGCTCCTTGGAAACCCTATCCAGGGTCAGAACTAACTTGATGGCACTTAACAACAACATCTTGACTTAAAAGGTAATTTCTTGGTTCTAAGTGCATTTAAAATCATCAGTTCTATTCCCTAATGTGCTGCTGCTGATCAAGGGACCTTGTCGCGGGCCAACTGCACAGCATTCTTAGATCCGCCGTACAGCTCTCTCTCTCTCCTTTTTCTTTTTTTGTCCCCTCCCCCTTTACCTTTTTTTTATTTGTAGGAAAGTTCCCAATGATTTGTCCTAATAAGAAAATATAGAGATTGTTTCCCTTCTAATACATGAAAAAAAAGAAAGCAATTTCCTTTTTTTCCCTTCTTTTTCCTTCCTTTTAAACTACCTTCCATCTCTGTCATCCAAGCTAGCACGTGTCTGCACTGGACCTAGTAAACAGTTCTCTTTGCCCTCACAGCCCCGGTAGCCATCACAGAAAGCTTATTATAAAATGACAAGTTTCTCTTTACATTTTACAGTAATTGTTATTGTCAGGTGCCATCAGGTCAGTCCCAACTCGTAGCAATCCTATGTAGGACTTCCAGGGAATGGCTTGGTGGGGTTGAACTGCCAACCTTGTGCTTAGCAGTCCAGTGCTTATCCTACAGCGCCACACCTGTATTTACAGTAGTGGTCTCATATGATTTCTGTCCCTTTGCAACTAAGGTCACTCAGCATAATAGCCTCCAAGTTCCTCCATGTGATTCTTCAGCGTTCCAGAATATTCCATTATGTGGCTGCACCAAAGTTTGTTCAACCATTCCTCTGCTGATGGCTCGCTAGCCTGTCTCCATCTCTTTGCTCTTGCGTCTCGGTTCTTTGTTAATTGAGGATATATCCCAGAGTGGAAAGGTTGCTGAGTCATACGGTATTTCTAAAAATCTTGGCTCTTGCCACCTTTGTTTTTCAAACACTAACACTTTGACAAAAAAAACAAAACGGAATGGTTTCTTTAGAAAAGCAGAAATGGAAATTTTCGTTTAAATCAAAATTGAGTTTCTAATTTGGATCTGAAGTCACCCAGTTCAGATGCCAGCATGTCTGTTTTAGGTTTTTGTTTTTAATTTTCAGGTATTTTCATGTATTCTGAGAAATACATTTAATGGAAACATCCCTTAATTGGAGAGGGGTACAGTTAGGTCTGGAGTATTGGTGTTGTGCTGTAGGATAAGCACTGGACTGCTAACCTAAGACGAGCGGTGCTGCAAATCCACTGGCTGCTCCTTGAAAACCGTATACGACACTGAGTCGAAGTCCAGTCAACATACTTCACAACAATAGTTAGGGTCTCATCAAGACAGCCTTTCCAGAAGCTACCTCGGTGTCCTCAACATGTCTGTGTAGCCAACATTATGGGTCAAGTATGAATTGGAATTGACTTACCAGCAGTAGGGCTGACTTTGGGGTTTCATAGGTCATATGTGAGCTGTTACATTGAAATCTCTAACAGAAATCTCAGAAACACACTACATTTTTAGGTCCCATTCAGAATTGACAACCCTCCTCATCCTTCCCTCTAACCAGAACTGAATGACTGCACACAGATTCCCCACCGAGAACACAGCTCCCTTTGGGGTGTGGCTATTAGTCAGCCATCAACTTAGGCTCCTCAGAATTGGTATGTTGGTATGTTAGTTGCTGCCTAGTTAAATCCAACTCATGGTGACCCCAATGTGGAGCACCTCTGTTTTTAAGATTCACACCACAAGGTTCAGGAGAAAACAAGTCCGCTTCCATCTCCCAGGCCCACTGAGCGATGCCTGCTCTTCTCACTGCCCATCTCTCTGTCTTCACGGCATGCAGCCTCTCTGGATGCCCGCAGGATGCCGGGATGAATCTGGGCTCTCGGGCCCTGATAACCCAGAGCTGGCTCCACATACCTGCCACCTTCTTGTATTTCAGGTCTTGTAAGCAAGATTTTTCCTGTTGAGACCCTAGTTGAAGAAGCCATCCAATGTGCAGAAAAAATTGCCAACAATTCAAAAATTGTGGCAGCAATGGCCAAGGAATCGGTGAATGCAGGTAGGGTGGAGGAGGGAGGACCTCACCAAGCAGGTCTGGCACTTGAGCTCAGCCTGGGGCGGGCCTGGGTCAGAGTCTCCATTGACAAGCATTGCAGATGTGCTGTGTGTGTCCCTTTGTCCCAGGACCCAAGAACCAGCGTTTTAAAGCCATCTTGACACGAGCATGTAGGGACAGAGTACACACGCTTCCGTCATTCTGACAGGGAAGGGATCAGACCTGCCCCATCCCAGAACAGCTTGGGTTTTAATCTAGCTTTCATTCTTCCATTTGAAACATCTTGTGTGCCTGGTGTCCACTGTTGGAAGGCCCGGGGGCTTTGGGAGAGGAGTGTCTCCTCAGACCAGTTCCTTAACCATTGAGTCTGCTTATTTGCAAGAAAGACCTTAAGTTGGAGTTCGTACTTGTGAAGTCCTGTGCATAGTGGATATTTAATATGCAGGCGCTGCTGTTTCCAGTAACGTCATGGTTAAAAGCTATCAAGTCGATTCTGACTCATACCAGTCCTGTAGCGTAGAGAGGAAGCGCTCAGGATTTCCACAAGTGTAAATCTTCATGGGAGCAGATAGCCCATCTCCCTTCCACAGAGCAGTTGCTGGTTAACCCCAGTGAGCCACCAGGTCTTCTTACCATGGCTCACTTCTGGTCCAGTAGAATAAATGACTCCACATTTTCCTGAACAGCCATGTATCCCAGAAGGAGGGCCCCAGGTGAATGAGGAGTCTTTTACCCAGAACCTTCTCAGTCTGGACCAGTCTGTCCCATGGCCTCAGAGAAGACGTCAGGGAGATGCAGGCAGCTTGGGTTTGAGGCCCTTTCAGGCTGGGAAGGGGCGGAGAATCGAGTAAGGCAGAGAAGTATGAGCAGGAACGGACTTGCTGACGGCTGGACATCACAGTGAAATGAAAGTACGTGTGATGGAGCCGGGGAGGACTGTCACCTTGAAAAAGGTCCAGATTCCCACATCTCAGTTCCTAACTCCCAGGTTTTCTTTTTCAGCTTTTGAAATGACATTAACAGAAGGAAATAAACTAGAGAAGAAACTCTTTTATTCAACATTTGCCACTGTGAGTAAACAGCATTATGCTGGGAATCCCAGCTCTCCCCTTGTGAAGCTGCTAGGCACCTTCTCTCAGACTTTCTCGGGCTGGAACTGTCCGTCCCTCCCTATCGGGTCAGGGTTGTTCTGCTAGCGTCTTGGCGTTAGCACACGGTCCTGCTCGAGGGGTCCAAAAGTGGAAGCACCCCCAAAGGGCTCATGAAATCGCATCCTCAGTGGGCTCCTTCGTGTAAAATGCAAGTCATTTTACCCATGATTTTTCTAGAACGTACCAGTTATTTGGAATCCTGGTGTGATGCTGTAGAATCAGCACTTG